AGCACTTTTGATTCGACCCCTGTGGGGCCTGTGAACCCCAGACTGGGCACAAGTCTCACAGGGCCAGTGGCGGCCGGTCCCGGCCTTGGTAGACCAGATGCCTCCAGTGCCTTGAGGCCCTGAGGTGTGCCCCGGGGCTGTCTTTCCTGGGGTCTCTCTCGAACCCCCGCTCTGCCTCAGAGGCCCCACCTCCATCCCTGCCCAGGCAGTCTCCTCTCCTTCCTCTTCCAGACCTCAAAGGCCAAGGCCCTGGCCAGCCACCAGCTTGTCCAGAGACTGATTAAGAGCAGCGTGGCCTGCCTTGGTGTCCTTGGCCGGGAGCAGAGACAAGCATTTGCATTCCCTGCAGCAAGGAAAGGAAGTCTCCTTGGCCTCGAGTGCTTTTCAGGAACTCTTGCAGCCCTGTGGCAGTGGCTGGGGAGGGGACGGTCCCCCCTCCCGCCCACCCACTCTTGCTGTGGGGCTCACCCTGGAGCAGGCCCACGTGCTCAGGTGGCAGTGCGTCTTAGGAACGCTCTGGTAGCGGGTGGGGATTTGTGCCGGCCCAAGGCCTCACGAGGTACTTGGGTGCTTGCTAGGGCTGTGCACTCACAGGTGAGAGAGACGAGAAAGCGAGCATGGCAGGTGGGACACCTGGCCCCGCCCCGCAGCTCTGCTGGCCTCTTCCTGGTGATAAGGATCAGAAAGAGCGTATCCGCTGAGCGCTGAGCTGTGGGGCCCCAGAGAACACCCAACCCGGGGTGCAGCCGGCAACAGGGCCGGGACTTCGCCGGAGATTCTATTTCCTGTGCCCCCCACCCCCTCGCCCCTGAGTGTCCCACAGCTTGCTGGGCCCCCCTCCCAGTCTGTTTTCTTGTTTGTAAGAATCGATTTTCAACGAGTTGCCCCGTCTGCAAAGGATCCACAAGCAAAAGTAAACAGAGCGACAGGTCCCCCCCCTCTCCCCCGCCATCCACCAGCTGTTCCAAGGCCTTTGTATCCTGGCCAGGCGCCGCCCAGCCGGGCACCCGGCCTGCCTGCCCGACGCTCCCTGGCCTTCGAACAGCGTCTTGGAGAACATCAGCTTGCCTCCCTGGGCCTCGATTATTTACTCTGCCCCTGGGTGCTCACCCCAGCTTGGTCCGCGTAGGGGATGAACACTCAGGTGCCCGATGGGTCAAATCAGAAGAATGTGCGTTTGGAATTTTGCTTGATTTTTTTTTTCTTTTTGGGTCACACCTGGCGATGCTCAGGGGTTACTCCTGGCTCTGCACTCAGGAACCACACCTGGCGGTGCTTGGGGGACCATACAGGATGCTGGGAATCGAACCCGGGTTGACCGCATGCAAGGCAAACGCCCTACCCACTGTGCTATTGCTCCAGCCCCTGGAATTTTGCTTGAAATGGATGAATTTACCTTTTTTTGGGGGGGGGTGTCACACCCAGCAGTACTCAGGGGTTACTCCTGGCTTTGTGCTCAGGGATCACTTCAGTGGTAATTACTTGGGGGACCATACGAGATGCCGGGCCTAGACCCTGGCCTGGCTGCATGCAAGGCCAGCACCCGCCCCGCTGTGCTCTTTCTCTGGCCCAAATTTCTGTTCTTAAAAGAATGGTACCGATTTGTTCTCCTCAGCACTCTGCCAAGAAGCAGTTATTACGGGTTTGTGATTTTTTTTCCAATTTGCCTTGTCTGCTTGTTGAAAAAAAGAAAAAGGGTTTTATTATACTTTTATTATTATTTTCAATTTTGGTCAAATAGCCTAAAAATAGCCGTTTTCTTCTTTTTTTTTAAAAAAAATAGCCGGTTTTTGTTTTATCTTATTTTTGGTTTGGGGGCCACACCCAGCTGTGCTCAGGGCTTGCTCCTGGCCCTGCCCTCAGGACTTGCTCCTGACAGGCCCAGGGGACCATGAGCCCTGGGGATGGAAATCAGGCTGGCTGCATATGCGGGAAGCGTGTTCCCCACTGTACTAGCACTCTGGCCCCAAAATAACCATTTTTATGTGTACAGCTCAGTGACATTAATCAGGCCTGCATTTGTACAACTGTCAACTGTCTATTTCCAGGACTTTGTGTGTGGGGCCACACCCCTGGGGACTGTGTATATGTTGGATCTTGACCGGCTGCATGCCTGGCAGGCCTGGCCTCCCATCCCCCCATACTAGCCCTCTGACCCCTCTTGAAACTCTGCATCCTCTTGAACAATGGCCCCTCTTTTTTCTCCCACTTCCTGTCCCCTCTGTCTTCTTTTCTTTTCTTTAATGATTTATTTATTCATTTGTTTTGCTTTTTGAGTCACACCTGGCCATGCTCAGGGACCATATGGGATGCCGGGGATCGAACCGGGTGGGCTGCTTACAAGGCAAACAACCTCCCCGCTGTCCTATTGCTCCCCACGTCTCCCCCGTTTTCTGTCGCTAAGGCTTCGCCTCTTGTGGGTGTCACGCACCGGCCAGTGCCTCGTGTCCCTCAACACGCTTCCTATGCTGCTGGGCTGTGGCTCATGTCAGATCTGGATGCTTCCCAGGCCAGCCGTCGGGAGAGATTTCCTGCCAGCCCATCCTCCGTGCTGGCCACTGGGCTTGTTTTCTCTGCCCGGGCGGGGGGAGCAGAGCTTCTGTGAACACGGTCCGGCGTTTCCATGTAGGTTTGAATCCTGCTCCCGAGAGGCTTGTGGTGTCAGAGGTCATTCTACTTTTTACGTATTTTTCCCCAGGCGTCTCCTAGTACTTGGCATCCATCCTTCTCCCACCATACCTGAGGCTGGTCTTTCGTCACCGGCTCTGTCGCTGTGAACTTGGGGCATCAGCCGTCCAGGGACAACGCCGTGCCTGCGTGTGTGCACGGGCCCTTGGCCGATCCTTTTTCTCTACTCCCCGAGCAGAGGGAGCCCGTTTCTGTACGTCACTGTCTTCGCCAGGACTGCCTGACTTAGAAGCGGGTCCATAAATACTTCCACAGCGCTGTCCCAAGGGGGCGAGTGGCATTTCCCTGCCCTCCCGCCAGGGCCGATGGCTTTTGGCTCCCGGCTGTACTTTCTCTTCTCCCCCTCCCCCGCCACATCCCCCACCCCCCTCTGCCATCTCAAGGGAAAGCGTTATAGTCATTCATAAAACCCTCCCTGTACCACCACGTGTACCTGGCACCTTCCTGAGGCACCAGGGTCCCGCAGACACTCTCTCCCAGCTCCCCGACACCCATGACATTTTCCCGCAGAATCTGTCAGAGGTTAATGTTCTGCCCCAGACACGGTGGATCGGCAGTCTGAGGAAGTGTGAACGTCTGTTCTTGTGCTTGTTAGTTGGGGGCCATACTTGATGGTGCAGCCACGCTCATCCCAGTGGTGCTCAGTGATGCCAGGGACCCAGCCCAGGGCCTCCAAGTGCCGGGCCCTGCTCTGCCACTGGGACTCTTTCGTTTTTAATGTCACCTCACATGGAAGGAGCCATTTAGGGCCTGAGGGATAGTTCAGCAGGGTGCCCACCCCCAACCCCTCCCGGGGTCGATCCCCGGCATCCCATGTAGTTCCCTGAGCCCACCAGGAGTGATCCCTGAGTGCAGAGCCAGGAGTAACCCCTGAGCATCGCCGGGTATGGCCCCCCCAAAGCAAAAGCAAACACAAAAGATATGAATCATTTAAAAATGTACAGTCCAGAGTTGGAGAGGCAGGACAGGGGCAAAGGCCCCTTGCATGTAGCTGGCCCTGGGACCCTGGTTTGCATCTTCGGTGCCCCATAGCCACACTGATTCCCCCTGCCCGCCCCAGTACCGCCCGGAGTGATTTTTTTTTTCTTTTTGGGTCACACCCAGTGATGCACAGAGGTTACTCCTGGCTCATTCACTCAGGAATTACCCCTGGCGGTGCTCGGGAGACCATCTGGGATACTGGGAATCGAACCCGGGTCAGCTTTGTGCAAGGCAAATGCCCTACCCGCTGTGCTAGTGCTCCAGCCCCGCGGAGTGATCTTTGAGCACAGAGCCAGGATTAAGCCCTAAATACTGCCGGTATGGCCCACCCACCCCTCTACCCTGAAAACCATACAATTCAGGGACCAGAGAGATGCTTCGCTTGCAGGAGACCCTGGTTCAATCCCTGGTACCACCCGGTTCCCCAAGCACTGCCGGGAGCGACTCCTGAGCACTTGTGTGCCAGAGATGGAACTGGAGTCTTCCTCCCTATATGAGTTCTCTGCCTAGTATTGTTTGGTTGGTTTGGGGGCCACCCCCAGTCATGCGCAGGTGTTATTCCTGGCGCAGTGCTCTGGGACCAGGAGGTGCCCGAAGTAGAGGGATGCAGAGTGTGCTCTCCCGCCCTTTGAGCCAGCTCCCCGGCCTGAGCCTGGAATTCCCAAGTCGGAGGAGGCCTTTTATTCATTTAATTTTTCGCTTTTATTTTTGGCCACACCTGGCAAGGCCAGGGGATTACTCCCAGCTCTGCTCTCAGGAACCACTCCTGGCGGTGCTCAGGGGACCATATGGGATGCTGGGGATCGAACCCTGGTTGGCTGCGTGCAAGCCTGCTATGCTATCACCCTGGTCCAAAAATAGTGGTTCCCTGCCCAATTATGGTTCTTGGCTTCTTGGTGGTGCTCAGGGGTTCCTCCTGGCTCTGCACTCAGGAGTTACTTCTGGCAGTGCGTGGGGAGCCATATGGGATTCCGGAGATCAAACCTGGGTTGGCCGCGTGCACGACAAGTGCCCTCCCTGCTGTGCTGTCACTCTGCATGTGATTTTTTTTTTTAAAGCCAATCGATTTCCCCCATCTGTTCCCTTTGTTGTTGCTGTGGTGTGGGGGGAGTCACACACTTGTTGTGATGTCAAGGGTCTCACTCGGTAGTGTATATGACTGTGTGTGGGGATGCTGGGGCAGGGACCCCAACCCTGAGCCATATCCCCGGGCCCTGGGGCCTTTAAACTAAAGAACTGCACACTCAGAGCAGATTGCACTGTGTTTGGCCAGGATTTCTCGGATGTTGACCCGGCCTGGGTCCCTGACTTGCCCCTTCTTGTCTCCGCAGGTGCTGATGGGCAAGCCCCGGAGTGTGGGATGAGGCGGGTGCGTGCACCATGTCATCATGTGTCTCTAGCCAGCCCAGCCACGAGCGAGCCGCCCCCCAGGATGAGCTGGGAGGCGGGGGTGGCAGCCGCGACAGCCAGCGGCCCTGCGAGGCCCTGCGGGGCCTCTCGTCCCTGAGCCTCCACCTGGGCATGGAGTCCTTCATTGTGGTCACTGAGTGCGAGCCGGCCTGCGCGGGGGACCTCGGCCTGGCCCCTGACCGGCCCCGGGGGGCTGATGGCTCCGAGCTGCCTCCGGATGACACTGCCTTTGAGGCGTCCCTGGCCGTGTCGGGGCCCCGGCCGCCCTTCCCTGGCCGCCAGCTCTCTCTGCAGGAGCCCTCGCAGCTGCACGCCAATGGCCGAGGGCAGCCGGCGCTGCCCTCCTCGCCCGTGGGCTCCCCGCAGTCGTCACCGCGGCTGCCCCGGCGGCCCACGGTGGAGTCTCACCATGTGTCTATCACCGGCCTGCAGGTGCGTGAGCTGGGGCAGGGATCTGGGCCCTCACCTGTGCTGGTGCATCCCTAGCCCCCTCTGTTAGATGATGTTACATGGATATTAAAGAGAGAGTGGTGTTTGCCTTGCATGCGGCCAACCCGGGTTCGATCGCTGGCATCCCATAAGGTCCCCCGAGCACTGCCAGGTGTAATTCCTGAGTGCGGAGCCAGAGTAACCCTGAGCATCACTGACTCCCCCCAAAAAATAAATAGAGTAGTATTTACCTGGCATGTGGCCACCCTGTCAATCCCCCACACCCTATGTGGTCCCCTTGGCCCACCAGGAATGATCCCTGAGCACAGAGCCAGAAGTAAGCCCTGAGCACTGCCTGGTGCAGCCTCAAAATAGCAAAAAAAGAGTTTGCACTGTAAGATGACATTTTTAAGTAACATAGAGGAACTGTGCAGTCAGCACGATGGTCCCTCTGGGCAGGAACTGGCTCCCGGCGCTGCTTCTGGGGGCTGAGGAGACTCTCGTCCTTGTCCTGGGGCCTGAGTGTGGAAGGTTCGTGTCACAGCTCACTTACAATCTACTTTCTCTGCTTCCACTTCTCAGGACTGCGTCCAGCTGAACCAGTACACACTGAAGGATGAAATTGGAAAGGTAAATGCCCCAGCAGTCTGCCGACGGCCACAGCTTCCAAGGCCGCCTCAGATGCCCTGGAGGGAGCCCCTGGGGCTGGGAGCGCGAGAGTGGCTCTTGGATGCAAGGTTGCAGAGGAGGTGGTGGGCGGTTCTGGTGGGCGGTTCCGACATTTTATTTGTACATCACGATTTTAACGCGTCTCTGCAAGAGCTCAGAACGCTTCCTGGCACTCCCGTGCCATGAGGGGGCTTCGTCTAACCACACAGGTCTTGGCTCCCTGCGTTCCTCACGCCTGTTTCTGCTTTTGCATTAACTCATGGCAATATCCTTGCCAGGGCCAGGAACTTGCATAGAGTGAGTAAAACTTGGACGGCAAGGGGCCAGAGAGTTGGCACCGCAGATGGTCCCCTGAGCCCAGAGGCAAGAGTAAGTCCTGGGCAAAGCCAGGTCTTGCCCCTCTACGAATAAATAAATGAATAAATGACAAAGCATGTCAGGTAGGAGACATTAGAGAGTGGTGAAGACTGTGGCAAACTGTTCACACATGGAAATGAGCGTGGCCACATCTTCCCATTTTCTTTTGAAAGAAGTAAGAATGTGATTTTTTTTTCTTTTTGGGTCACACGGGCGCAATGCTCAGGAGTTACTCCTGGCTCTACACTCAGGAATTACTCCTGGCAGTGCTCAGGGGACCATATGGGATGCTGGGAACCGAACCCGGGTCAGCTGCATGCAAAGCAAATGCCCTACGTGCTCTGCTATTGCTCCAGCCCCAAGAGAATGTGAATTTTTATATTTCATTTTGTTGTTGCTGTTTTTGGTCTCTGGGGCCATCCCTGACTGTGCTCAGGGCTTATTCCCACTTCTGCACACAGGGATCACTCCTGGCTGCCTGAGGGTTCAGTCTGGCTTATATCGCATCTTCCTGTTTTCCCATGTTGGCGATGCATCCAAACCTCGTAGAAACTGCAGGTCTAACGAAGTACAATATTAGAGGGTCGGAGAGAGAGAGCGCAGCGGGTCACACACTCACCTTGCATACACTTGATCAGGGTTCAGTCCCTAGCGCCACATCCAGTTCCATGAGCCTCACCGGGCGTCATCCCTGAGCACAACGCCAGGAGTAACCCTGAGCACTGCCTGCTGTTCTCCCCACAAGCAAACGAACAAACGGTATCAGAGCAGATCTGCGCAGTAGGGTGCTCCGATCCTAACTGCCGGCCAGTGCGTCACGACGTCTCCCTTCCTCAGGGCTCCTATGGCGTGGTGAAGCTGGCCTACAACGAGAATGACAATACCTATTACGTGAGCACCCTCCTGCCTGCACCCCGCCCCCACCCCCCGCCCCCCCAGCGACCGCAGAGCTCTTGCTGGCACTTGGCTTGCCGGCAGGTTCTCCTCGCTGTGTCTCGTCCTGTCGTTCAGTAGTGTCCATTTGGTGCCTTCGGGACAAAGCGGGGCTCCTATTCAGTTTTCCTGTGGTGGGGAGTGGGGGCCGCCGTGCCTGGCTGGGGTGGGGGGGGTGCATGAATGAATGCAGCCAACGCCTGTCCTCCCTCGGGGCCGCCTTTCTCTCCCCTCCATGGCACTCGGACCCCGGCACGAGTGAGACTGCGCTGGTGGCCGAGGCTTTGGGGTCTGCCCAGCAGCTCCCCCTTCCCCGAGCTTCACTCCAGCTCCTTGTGATTTGCTTCCGGGGCAGCCAGACCCAAGGCTGTGTCCCTGCTGGCTCTGCTGGCCCGGGGTCTTGGAAGCACCCCGGATTCCTGCCTCTGCCCGGCTCGCCCCTCCCCCTCCCTGGCCACAAGGGGTCGAGGGAGCTTCTCCCCGTTCCTGCGTTAATGGAACCCGGGGTCTTCCCCCCGCAGGCCATGAAGGTGCTGTCGAAAAAGAAGCTGATCCGCCAGGCGGGCTTTCCACGTGAGTTTGGTGGCGCGGGGCTTGTTATCTCGCTGCGGGGCCCAGGCCAAGGCCGGGTAGAGGCTGCTGGAAGGGGCTCCGTGTCCGTCCCACATTCCTTCTCGTTTTGAGTCGTCAGAGCCCCAGAGATCTTCAGTCAGAAAACCGGGAGGGAGAATGGGACGGTTCCTCGGAGAGTAAAAGATGAGCCCCAGGGGACCCGCGGGGCTCCTCAGAGAGTACCTGGAGAATTCAGAGGCAGCGACCCAGGAAAGCTTGGCCAGGCGTGCTGGGAGCAGCGCTGTCCGCGGTCAGAGCCTTAGTGTCCCTGAGCCCACGAAGGGAGAAGCAAAAGGGGTCAGTCCGCACGGGCTGTCTCTCAGCACGGAGTGACGTGGATGAGGCAGACCCAGGAGGCCAAGCCTCGTGTGGTTTTATTTACATCAAATGTCCGGGATAGAGAGCAATGCAGGGGCAGGAGAGAGACCCGTGGTTTTCAGCGCTGGGGCGGGGAGCGGTGTGAGACTTGTGTGTGTGTGGGGGTGATCATGAAATTGTACTGGGTTAGACGGTGGTGATGTGATCGGACACCTCTTATGCCCTAAAATACATCTTTAAATGGTGAATCAAACAAATTGAAATGCTAAGAGGCATTTGAAATGTAGCTACACCAAAAATTCGCAAAAAGAACAAAGCGCCTGGGAGTGTGAGTGTTTCCTGCTCCTGCTCTCCCTGCGGGCAGCCCCCACTTCTCCCTTCTCGGAAGGAGCTGGTAATTACTGCCTGCCGGGCTCCTTCCGCCAGCACCGGCAGAATGTCACCGTGGGGAAGTAGAGAAGGGAAACCTCAGTGCATCCATCCCCTCTCGGGCCGGGCCCTCCGGCTTAGTGAGGTCAGAGGCTTCTCGTGCCCGCGTCCTGTGGTTTGCCCCTTGGCATCTGCTGATTTGCTTCCGTTGGAAGCTGAGTGTTCTTGCTAACCAAGCCCTTCCCTCCACCTCCCGCACTGGGCAGTGACCATGCTGGGAAGTTGAGCCCGTTGGGTCACTCCAGAGTCTGGGTGAAGGTGGGGAGGGCCGTGGAGCTTAACCTCCCTTGGTCCATCCCCTTCTTCCTTGTCCCAATGTGTGTGGTTTGGTCCACACCTACTGGCCATCCTGCAGTACTTGGAGTTGGGCCAGGGGTAGCCGTGTGCCAGGCCGATGCCCTAACCTTGGCCCTGTCTCTCTGGCCCCCACGGCCCCCTTCTGACGCCAGCACCTTTACTCTTACCCGTCTGAGACGGCTCACAACTGTATCTGGGGGCATGAATTACACCCAGATCCTGGCTCTCCCTCAGAAAGTGGCCCTGGGTTCCTTCCGGGTCACAGCGGGGCGGGCAGTAAGCTAAGTGCTCGTCACAGTCCTGTTCCCTGGCGCTTACTCTTCCCCGCCCTGATTCCTGGCTTCATCGTGTTTCTCGGCTTAGGAGACGAGGGGGAATGTCTTTGCCGTCTGTGGAGAGACGGAAAGCCGAGCCCTCGCCAGGAGTGGTGCCCGCCCCCGGATGCCAACCTGCAGAGCCCAGACTCGGGCCCAGACTCAGGCCCAGCTGCTCTCCCGGCACCGCTGGCCGCCGGGGCCAGGGGCAGAAGGACTCACCAACAGATGCCTGAGATGCCCCTTGGGGGGGGGGCAGCGCCGCCCCCAGCCCCCACACCCTCTTCCCGCCTTTGTGTCTTTGCAGGGAGAGTCTCTCTGCTCTGACCTGATGCTTCTCGTTGCCTCCAGGTCGCCCCCCGCCCCGAGGCACCCGGCCAGCCCCGGGGGGCTGCATCCAGCCCCGGGGCCCCATTGAGCAGGTGTATCAGGAAATCGCCATTCTCAAGAAACTGGACCACCCCAACGTGGTGAAGCTGGTGGAGGTGAGGCGGGGGGCAGTGGAGGGAGACCCCCGAGAGCCGGTCACTTCTAACGACTTCCTGATTTTTTTTAATCGGCTCACCATCATCACAAAGTCCTGTGAGTTATTCGCTGGCTTCCAGGTGGCGGGCGATCCAAGGCGGATCCCTTCCCCAGTGCTAGGCGGTTACCGTCCCAGCTCCCAGGCCTGGGAGCTGTAGGGACGCCTCACCCCTATGAGATGGATTTATTGTGTCGTCCATGTTACCGATGAAGAAGCCGGGGCCAAAAGGGAGGTGGAGGCGGCTGTATCAGGCACTTTCTCTCTGGCCCTGACTCCAGAGTCTCTTAAAAATCAGCGAAGAGGCTCCAAAGTTTTTGCTTATGCGGGTTATTGTCATTGCCTATCCTCTTAGAGTTTTAAATTGGGAAACTTACGGGATTGAAGAGATAGCACACTGGGTAGGGCGCTGGCCTTGATGTGGCTTGCCTAGGCTGGATCCCCGGCATCCCATATGGTCACCAGAGCTCATCAGGAGCACAGAGCACGGAGTAACCACTGAGCATCGGAGGGTGTGCCCTCTCCCAAATCAAATAAATAAATGAAATTTGGAAACCAAAAATAATTATTTATTTATTTATTTAAAATAATCTTATTACATATCCGTGTCACGGTCACAGTCCTCCCGTTGTTCATCGATTTGCTCGAGCAGGCCCAGTAACGTCTCCATTTTGAGACTTGTTGTAACTGTGTTTGGCGTATTGAATACATCACATGTAGCTTGCCAGGCTTTGCCGTGCTCTCGGCAGCTTCCCGGGCTCTCCTAGAGGGGCGGAGGAATTGATCCCGGCTCGACCGGGCTGGCTGCGCACAAGGCAAACGCCCTACCGCTGTGCTGTCACTCCTATCTTACATTATAAGATGTGATAGGGTATATATATATGTATATATATATATATACATATATACATACATACACACACATATTTGGTTTGGGTGCTGCCCCATTGGTGCTCAGGGTTTATTTCTGGCTTTGTCCTCAGGGCTTATCCTGGCAGTGCTCAGGGCACCTGTCTGCTGGAGACCATGGGACTTTGTTTAGCTGAGATTTTTTTGGGGGGTCACACCCGGCGATGCACAGGGGTTACTCCTGGCTCATACACTCAGGAATCACTCCTGGTGCTGCTTGGGAGACCATATGGGATGCTGGGAATTGAACCCAGGTCAGCTGCGTGCAAGGCAAACGCCCTACCCGCTGTGCTATCTCTCCAGCCCCTTAGCTAAGAGTTTGAACAAAGGAAAATGTTCAACAATTCAGGGCAGGAATTGTCACCCTCTAGTCTTTTGGAACCTGCAGGGTGAGGCTCGCAGGCTTTTCGGTCTGGGCGGAATGGGATGGCACACTTGGCGTAGGAGTTTCTCTGTGCCCCTCCGGTGGGTTTCTGAGTCACGCCAGATGGTGCCCAGGGCCTCCCCATCTTCTCTGTCGGACGCTTACTGTTCTCTCCCTCCCTCCGCTCCTCTGCTCCGGCTGGCTCCGGGTGGCTGTGCCCACAGGTCCTGGATGACCCCAACGAGGACCATCTGTACATGGGTAAGTGCCTTCGCTGCCCGTTACCCTGCTTGGGCAGCCCCTTACCCTGTCAGTCTAGCCAGGCACTCAGGGAGCCCCTGAAAGGCCTCCTCGGGGTTCAGATCAGTGCTGGAGTGCCTGGGTCTCCCCTCGATGCATCCGCAGACATTTCTCTGACAAGGATGAGGGAGAAAGCCGAGAGAGGCCAGCACTGCCCACTCAGCGAGCCGTTCGGCTACAGACCACGCCGGGAAGATGGAGCCTCTGTGGCTCAGAAGTAGGGACCCCCTCTCAGTACTGGGGCATTTGGTGCTGGGGGGAAGTGGGACTGCTCGGCCCTGTGACAGCTGGGGGGGGGGGTGCAGGGTGCCAAGGCCCCGAGTCAGAGGGGAACTGGGTGTATTTGCAGAGAGTGGGAGTGGGACGGTAACCCGGGGAGAGTGTGAGATACGAGGGCCCATCCAGGGGGACACGGTGGGCATGGTGGGGCATCGGAAGGTCTGAGTGCCGCCTGGGGTGTCTCAGAGACCTCACGGGGCTGGGTGCCCAAGGGACAGGTGGGCAGGACGAGTTCAGACAGTTAGTTTCCTCGTGAGGATGTTTTTGTTCCTTCGGACATTTTTAAAATTCCCTCCACTCCAGGTTTTTATTAGGAAATATGTGAAGCCCATAGAAAGGCTGAAAGAATGAACAGTGAATACCTGCATATTCCGTCAGGATGCGAGTTAATAACTAGGTCCATATTTGCTTGTTCGGTCTTGTTGCCAGCTGTCCATTTTTCTGTGTTTTTTTTTTTTTTAACTATCCCAAAGTTAAGTGGCAGACAACTTAAGACACTTACCCCTAAACATTTCAACATGCATCTGACAGCAAGGATGTTCTGCCAATGATCAGAATGCCATGACGTCCCATCCGTCCAAGGGCTTGCTTCACATGTATGGGACACTAGTCTCAATCCCTGGCAGTCAAAATTAAAGTTAAAAAGTTAATGCCAGGGGCTGGAGCGATAGCACAGTGGGTAGGGCGTTTGCCTTGCACGCAACCAACATGACCGACACAGGTTAGATTCCCAGCACCCAAACACAGGTTAGATTCCCAGCACCCCATATGGTCCCCTGAGCACCGCCAGGAGCAATTCCTGAGTGCATGAGCCAGGAGTAACTCCTGAGCATCGCCGGGTGCGACCCAAAAAGCAAAAAAAAAAAAAAAAAAAAAAAAAAAGTTAATGCCAATGGCACTGGAGCACTAGCACAGTGGGTAGGGCGTTTGCCTTGCATGCGGCCGACCCGGGTTTGATTCCCAGCATCCCATATGGTCCCCTGAGCACCGCCAGGAGTAATTCCTGAGTGCAGAGCCAGGAGGAATCCCTGTGCAATGCTGGGTATGACCCAAAAAGCGAAAAAAAAAAAAAAGAAAGAAAAAGTTAATGCCAATTCCTTAGGAGACTCTAGCATGCATTTTTTTTTTCTTTTTGGTCTTAATGGAGCTACACCTGGTGATGCTCAGGGGTTATTCCTGGCTCTGCACTCAGGAAGCACTCGTGGCGGTGCTCAGGAGACCTTATGGGATGCTGGGAATCAAACCCGGGTCGGCCGCATGCAAGGCAAACTCCCTGCCCGCTGTGTTATCGCTCCAGTGCCAGTGGCATTAATTTTTTAATTTTAATTTTGGCTGCCAGGGATTGAGACTAGTGTCCCATACATGTGAAGCAAGCCCTTGGGCGGATGTGACGTCATGGCATTCTGATCATTGTCAGAACATCCTTGCTGTGAGATGCACGTTGAAATGTTTAGGGGTAAGCGTCTTAAGTTGTCTGTAAGGCAAGCGCCCTCCCCGCTGTCCTATCGCTCCTGGCTCCTGTTCAGGATTCTTTAGGGAATAGGTGAAGCCTCTCCCCTCAGCCTGTGGGGAGCTGTGGGGCCTGGGCGTAGAGGAGAAAGAGGCAGACAAGAAAGAACACGCACCAGACGGCTTCCCTGACGGCGCCCGCTGTGGTGGGGGGCGGTGGGGGGCCAGCCGGCTGGCCTTTGGCAGGCGGTTCCCGCGTTTTTTAGAACCCCAACCCAGTTCTTTTGGCTGCCCAGCGTTAAATTCTGGATGACACCGGGGGGCGGGTCCCAGATCTCCTGCCACCGCAGCTGCGACCCTCCCAGGGCAGAGACCGGGATCTCGTGAGGTTCAAGCTTTCCCACCACCGCGCAGCCCCAAGCGTGTGGTGACACTGCGGGTGACTGAAATAGACCTGTTTCCACAGGCTCGGCCCCCACGCCGGCTGATTTATGGGGCTCGGGTGGGTGGAAGGTGCCGACGCCAAGGCAGCTCTGGAAAGCTGAGACTTACATAAGTAAGGCGGGAAGGGCCGGGCTGAGGGCCAGGCTCCCCCCTGCCCCCCGCCAGGGCACCTCCTCTGCAGGGTCCCCGCTTCTAAGTGGATCCCCCAACCAGCCCAGATGGACCCGGTGACAGGTACCCTGAGGTGTTCCTTTTCTGGTCAGAAACTTGCCCCTTCTTGTACTCTGAGGGACTGTCTCTCCCACTGGCAGAGCCTGGAATCCTCCCCCGCTGCGTGTGGGTAGGTGACTCCAGAGCACGGCAACCCCTAAGTCATGGTCTAGTGGATTGGAAAATCCACAATTGTATTTTTTTTTCTGCTTTGTAAAGTATAGCTGCTGTTCCTGCTCCTTCTCCTCCTCCTCCTCCTCCCTCCCCTCTACCTCCTCTCCTTCCTCCTCCTCCTCCTCCTCCTCTTCCTCCTTTTCTTCCTCCTTCTTGTCTTTTTGTCACACCCGGCGATGCTCAGGGGTTTCTCCTTGCTCTGCACTCAGGAACTACTCCTGGTGGTGCTCAGGGGACCGTATGGGATGCTGGGAGTCGAACCCGGGTCGGCCGTGTGCAAGGCAAACTAGCAGGAACAGTGCTGTGAAGCAATGGCATTCTTCAGGGAAGAGTCTGAGCGCCGGGGTCGGCGCGGGGCCTGTGGCGGGCCGGCAGGGGCGGGTCTCACGGCAATGAGCACCCCCAGCCGCTTGCCGGCTCCCAGTCACGAGCATGGGTCTGAGGGCGGGTGGAAGTGTGCACAGTTTCCTCCAGCCCGCTCAGTCCGTAGCCTGGCACAGCCTGGCAGCGTGGAGAATGTGGGAGGGGGAAGCCTGCGCTTGCTGATTCTTGAACTGAGACTTGCCTGGGATTCTGGAGACCTCAGAGGTACTGCATTCATTGAGGTGCCCAAGCGAAAGGACATTTGCTCGCGACCCTGTAGATCCTTCAGACACGTAAAGAGCACAAAAGGATGTGAGCCGGGGGAGCAATAGTACAGTGGGGAGGGTATTTGCCTTGCATGATGCCGACCCCTGTTCCATCCCCAGCATCCCGTAGGGTCCTCCAAGCCCACCAGGAGAATTCCTGAGTGCAGAGCCAGAAGTTAGCCCTAAGCACTGTTGGGTGTGGCCCCAACACAAACAAACAAAACCAAACCCCCCAAATAAGTGGCTGTGAGCAGAGGCAAAGTCGGAGCAGGCATTTCCCGGGAGCCCCCACGTGAGGGGCTGCCCCCACCTGTCGCTGCGTTCCCTGCTTTGTGTGCACGGCCCAGGTGTCCTCACCCACTTGAGGGGAGACACAGCAGGCTGCGGGTGCAGAAACACCTGGAATCCCTCAGCCCGGGCCCCCCAGGGCCTCTGCCAGGGCCTTGGCCACCTCCGGCCTGGTGGAATGTCCTATTCAGCCTTGATGAGAATCTCTTACTTCTGGGTGTTTCTAGGGGCGCGTGGACACTTGGCAGGAAGGGATACTTCTGTTTTCACAGTTAACCATTCCCCTTCTTTCCCTTCCAGTGTTCGAGCTGGTCAACCAAGGGTGAGTGTCCCTGCTCAGGCAAATGGTTTCCTGGTGCTTCCTGGGCTGGGCTCGCTGGCGAGAGCTGGATTTGGCGTCTCACTTGCGTGTGTGTGTGTGTGTGTGTATGGGTGTATGTGTGGGTGTGTGTGTGTGTGCGTGGGTGTCCCGGCAGGCCTGTGATGGAAGTGCCCACAGTCAAGCCACTCTCGGAAGACCAGGCCCGGTTCTACTTCCAGGATCTGATCAAAGGCATTGAATACCGTAAGCAGGGCTGGCGGGAGGCCTTGCCCCTGGGGAGGGGGGAGAGCGTGGTCGGTGTCCTCAGAGGAGGGAAGGACAAGGAAAAGCTTTCCTCAGACCAGAGCTGCCTGTGATGCTGCTTGTGGCCCTGGGAGCCCTGTTGGGGCCGCTTTCCCGGTAGGCAGCTGCTCTTCCTGCCCGATGAAACACAGGGCACCATTACACTAGAGACCACCATGTGGGTGCGTTCCCTATAGTGGGCATAACTGGCTCTCTGCCCGCATATCCCTCACTCCTCCAGCCTTTCTGGGGTGGACATCTGTTAACCTACTGGAACCTCAGTTTCCTCATCTGTAGAACAAGAATTGGCTATTTCTCACTGGAGCTAAAATCGTACAGAGCACAGCTGGGGCCAGCTGCAGGCAAGGCGAGTGTCTCAGCCCCTGTACCATCTGCCTGTCTGCTGAACTTTTCTCTTTTGGAGGGGACTTTTTTTTTTTTTACTTTTAAATATATTTTTTAAAATTTTTATTAGTGAAACACCATGAGATACAGTTGTAGACTTACAAATTTTTGTGCTTGGGTTTCAATTGTACAATGATCAAATACCCATCCCTCCACCAGCGCCCATTTTCCACCACCACGGGTCCCAGTATCCCTCCCATCCCCATCCCCCATCCCACCCTGCCTCTGTGGCAGGGCATCCCTTTTGTTCTCTCTCTCCTTTTGGATGTTGTGGTTTGCAAAAGAGGCATCGAGTGGCAATCATGTTTGGTCTATAGTCTACTTTCAGCATGCTTCTCCCATCCCGAGAGAATCCTCCCAACACCCTTTATTTGGTGCTCCCTTCTCTATCTGAGCTCCCTTTTCCCCTAGCATGTGTGGTTGGCCTCCAAGCCATGGAGCAAAACGCCTGGTACTAATCTCAGCCACTCTTGGGTGTTAGTCTCCTATTTTGTTACTTTATGTTCCCCAGATGAAGGCAATCTTTCTATGTCTATCTGGAGGGGACTTTTGAGGTCATATTTGGTGATGCTCAGGGGTTACTCCTGGCTCTGCACTGGTGGTGCTCGGGGGGACCGTATGGGATGCCGGCTGCATGCAAGGCAAACGCTCTCCCTGCTGTGCTGTCACTCGAACCCCTGGCCTCTAAACTTTTGCTCACGTCTGTCATGTAGGATTGTTGTGAGATTTGAATGGGGTAATTGGGGGGCACTAAGACAAGGTGACGCCCCAGAAGGGTCAGCAGAGGACGCAGCAGGTCCCTTCATCACCTGCGTCCTTCCTCATCATCCCCGCAGGCGTGCAGTTGTGTCTCCCCAGCCGTGGGTTGGCGTGTAGACAGGAGCCATTAGCCCGCTGCCTTTATGCCTGACAGCTTCCGTTCCTTGCTCCGGTCCCTGTTGGTGGACAGGCTGAGCGTGGTCATGAGGAATGGAAATAGGCCTGACTGCCAAGCCCACCTTCCAGTTGGGACCCAGACATACTAGCGCACGTGCCTTGCCCCTGCAGGGCCCTGGCTTGGACCAGGACCACCGCATGCACCCCATTTCCTGACCCCTCAGGATGTGGCCCTGAGAACCCCGCACCCCACCCATTTGAAAGCACAGAGCTCCCCAAGCCCTGTCTGCCTCCACCTTGTGCAAGGCGGCAGTTCCCGCCCTCTCTGCCTCTACCTCGCACGAGGCGGCAGTTCTTGACGGGGCGCTGCTAGCCCGTTTCAGAACACGGAGTATAGGTGTGTGGAGGGTGGGGAGAAGGGAGAGCTGAGGTGGGAGGGAGGGTCTGGGGGCATGGGAGGCCAGAGCCCCGCCCTGCCCTGTGGACCGCCCCACACGGCCTCCTGCCCCATCCCTGCCGCCTGCAGTGCACTACCAGAAGATCATCCACCGGGACATCAAGCCGTCCAACCTGCTGGTGGGGGAGGACGGGCACGTCAAGATCGCCGACTTCGGAGTGAGCAACGAGTTCAAGGGCAGCGACGCGCTGCTGTCTAACACCGTGGGCACACCCGCCTTCATGGCGCCCGAGTCACTCTCCGAGACCCGGAAGATCTTCTCCGGGAAGGTGGGTCGGTACCTGCCCAGCGGGCCCAGCCCGGCTGGTTCGCGCCCTGGGGTGGTACCTGGCCAGACTCCGGGTCTAACAGCGTCAGTGAGGCTGGGGGATCTGGCTGAGGAAGACCCGTCCCCAGGACTCTGTCTCAGCTGTTCTGGTTTCTTCTCCCGCTGCGGGCCACTGTCTGCCAGTTGACCAAGCTCGGCAGAGAGATCATTCTTCAGGAGTCCTGGGGTTGGCCGGATTGCCCCGCGGGGGTGGGTGCATGTCCTGGAGTGGGGAGGCGGGTGCCTGAGGCTCCCCCACCCTGTAAACCCAGAGTCGAGACAGGTGGTTTCTCCTGCAGGGCAAACCCGGGAATGGGATGCCAGCAGGGCTTGAGGGGTCGCTGCCTCACCGGCAATGCTCTCTCTGTCTTGCAGGCCTTGGATGTCTGGGCCATGGGTGTGACGCTCTACTGCTTTGTGTTTGGCCAGGTAACAGCATGGGGCATCCTGTCCCCAGGAGATGGCTGGGGGGGCCCTTTGAAAAAACCACTGGGAAGAGAGCAGTTAAAAGTGAAGTCATTGGGGCTGATAGCACGGGGGGGGGGGGGGGGGCGGGGGGGGCGTTTTGCCTTGCACGCGGCCGACCCAGGTTTGATTCCCAGCATCCCATATGGTCCCCTGAGCACTGCCAGGTATGATTCCTGAGTGCATGAGCCAGGAGGAACCAATGAGCATCACCGGGTGTGACCTAAAAAGCAAAAAAAAAAAAAAAAAAGGCGATGTTGTTTTCTTTCCACAGCTAGGCTCGCGGAGGGCAGCTGCCTTCCCAGTGGAGCTGTGTGTGTGATCCTCCCTGGTGCGGACAGTGACACACGCTCTAGAGCTGGGGGATTTAGGGCCCTGTCAGCAGAGGTGCCACGGCCGCCCCCCACAGGCGCCCTTTCCTGCCCGATCCCGGCCTTTTGCTGTGCTCTGTGGAGGGTTTCCTAGGGATTGTTGGGGGGACGGTATTAAGTGGAAGTTAAAGTCCATTTGGCATGATTTTGTTATGGGGAGATTTTTTTGTTTGTTTGGGAGCCATAACCTGGCTGTGCTCACCCTGGTGGCGCTCAGGGGGGACCCTAACGGTGCCGGGGTGGAGCTGGGGTCAGCCGCATGCAAGGCCCACACGCTCCCGCTATGCTGTCCACCAGCCCCGTTCAGCAGTATTAATCACTTAATCACTTAATCCCCGTTATTCATCGATTTATTCGAGCAGGTGCCAGTAACATCTCCATTCATCCCGGTTGCATGCTAGCGTAGCCCAATGGTATCTGTTCGTTCTAGGAACATGCAGAGCCTCAAACCGATCATTTAGGGTCTTGACGAAGAAGTCTGACCATCTTATAGGTGGGCGTCCACGTGATCTTTTGATGTCCCGTGGAATCCAATCAGTAATGGCTCTAGTCCAGCGGTTGTCTGTAAACCTCATTATGTGTCCAGCCCATCTGATTTTTGATGTCTTGGCAATGAGACAGCGTCCTTGATTATTGAGCATTGACGAAGATCAGAACTCCGGATTCTATCTCTCATTTGAGTGAATCGTGATATTCCAAGCATAGTTCTTTCGATTCCTCTTTGAGAGACCCGAATAGCGTTCTCATCCTGTTTTCGTAGGGTCCAGGTCTCTGAGGCAGTATTATTATTATTATTATTATTATTATTTAATGTTATTATGATTGAATCACCGTGAGCTACAGTCACAAAGTTTCATGTTTGAGTTTCAGTCATACAGTGATGGAACACCCGTCCCGCCACCAGTGCACGTTCACCACCAATGTCCGCCGTATTTCTTCCACGCTCCGCCGCCCCCTGCTCTGCGTTATTGAATGCAGAAATGCTTTTGGGGCTTTATTGCTGTTTCTGTATTACTGATACTTGGCGGCTTCTTTTGTTTGTTTCTTTTGCAGGCGAGGGGCGCCACTCCTGGCTCTACACTCAGGAATTACTCCTGGTGGTGCTGGGGGATCGAACCTGGGTGGGCTGCGTGCAAGGCCGGCGCCCTGTGTGCTGTACTGTTTCTCTGACCCCAGACTTCTTTTCTTTTCCTGCTTCCTTCGTTGCTGGGATTGAACCCAGGACCTCATGCATGAGGGACATGTGCGATGCCATTGATTTGTATCCCCGCCCCCTTAGCGGCTTCTAGTTTTTTTTTTTTCTTTCATATTTGGGCCGCTCTTGGCAGTGCTCAGGGCTTACTCCTGGCTCTGTGCTCTGGATTCACTCCTGGTGGGCTCAGGGAACCACATGTGGTGCCAGGGATCAGACCTGCATTCGCCACGTCGTGTCCTATCCCTCCGGCCCCAAGGAGCTTCTCTTTTTAATTCTGAAATTCTGTAAGTCCTATGGGCAACAAAACCATGGATTTTGCCTTTCATGAACTTGTGGTCCTGCTAAAAACTTTGAAACCGGGTCCATAAGAGTTTACAGGGGCTTGCCTTGCACACGGCTGACCCAGGTTCGATTCCCAGCATCCCATATGGTCCCCTGAGCACCGCCAGGAGGAATTCCTGAGTGTAAAGCCAGGAGTAACCCCTGATCGCCGGGTGTGGCCCTCCCCCCCAAAAAAAGAGTTTCCAAGGACAGGAAGGATACTACAGCTGGTGGGGCACTTGCCCTGCATGTGGCTGACCCAGATTCGATCCCCAGCATCCCATAGTCTCCCCTGAGCACCACCAGGAGTAATTCCTTAGTGCAGAGCCAGGACTAACCCCTGAGCATCACCAGGTGTGACCCCAAAACAAAAACAAACAAACAAAAATCCAACTAAACAAACAAAAAAGACTTAAATCTCCTCTCCCAGTTTGAGAGAATTGTGCAGTGAACACCAGCATCTCAGCTCCGGATTTCATCTTCCGTGATTCTCATTTTCTCCCAGGTCTGTCCATGCTCTGTTGTTAGCCACGTCATTTGTGGCTCTTCTCTTCGTTTCCTTTTAAGTCAAATTTACAATTTGTAAAGTGTATGGTTTGGCTGTGGTTTGGTTTGGGGGTCATACCCTCTGGTGCTCAGGGGCTACTCCTGGTTCTGTGTCCCAGGCTGGCCCCTGGCATGCTGGGGGAATGGTGCCCGGGGCGTGATGGCAAGTCCCCCACCTGCTGCCCTCTGTGTGTGTCCAGATCCTGAGTGCTCTGTCAGCGAGCTCTGAAAAATAGACACTCCAGTTCTCTCCCATGCTGGCCCGAGTGACCATTCCTGGGGAAGTCACTTTTTTGGTACAGGGGTAAACCAGGACACTATTACCCTACACAGCCCCTGAGGTTTTTTTTTTTTTTCCTTGCTTTTTGGGTCACACGCAGCGATACTCAGGAGTTACTCCTGGCTCTGCACTCAGGAATCACTCCTGGCGGTGCTGGGGGAACCATATGGGATGCCAGGGCTTAGAACTCAGGTTGGCTGTGTGCAAGGCAAACACCCTCCCCGCTGTACTATCGCTCTGGCCCCAGAGGTTTTTTTTTTTTTTTTTCCATCATAATGACCACGTCCATCCCTCACTGGGGTGTGGGGGCCGTCAGTTTGTCACTCAGGATGTGGTGCATGAACCGGCTTCCAAGGCTGCCCCGTCTGGGCCTCAGTGCCGGCTTTACACTTCCTGGGCACCTCGCCCCTCCCAGCTGCTGTCAAAGGGGAAACTCATGATTTCTCATGACTTCTGAGAACCTTGGCAGAAATCATTAAGGGACTCGTGAATTCAGTGGGTATGTCCCAAGTCCCCGCTCTTGAGCCCAGGATGTCCACAGGCACTGGTGGTCAGCTGAGAGCCGGATGTGAAATCCCTGCCCTCCAGAAACTAATGGTGCAGTATGCAATTAAAATAATAAAATAAAAACAGTAAGAGGTCTGGAGCCATAGCATAGCGGGTAGGGTGTTTGCCTTGCATGCGGCCAACCTGGGTTCGATTCCCAGCATCCCATATGGTCTCCTGAGCACTGCCAGGGATAATTTTTGAGTACAGAGCCAGGAGTAACCCCTGAGCATAGCCAGGTGTGACCCCCCAAGAAATAAAAAACCAGAAAAACAGTGAGAGAAATCTGCAGCGTAACTCAGGCCGGGGTTGGGTATGTGTTGGGAAATTGCAAGCTAGTGGGTGGGTGTCTGTCTGTCTGTCTTAGACAGGCATGCAGAGAAGGCCCCTGCATCATGGGCAGAAACCTGAGTGATGGCAGAGAGCAGCCGGGCTGGTGGACACTCACCGAGATGTCCAAGAGGCCAGCACGGGGACGGAGGGGGATACAGTAGGACGGTGGGTGTCCTGCTTGCAAGTAGGGTTTGTTGGTTTGATTACTGGCAGCAAGTCAGGTCCCCCTGAAACTCACAGGAGTAACCTCCAAGCACTGCCCGCTGGGGCCTAAAATAAAACAAAAAACATTAAGAAAAAAAGTTGGGGCGGGGCTGGAGCAATAGCACAGTGGGTAGGGCATTTGCCTTGCACGCAGCCAACATGGTCGACACAGGTTCGATTCCCAGCATCCCATATGGTCCCCCAAGCACTGCCAGGAGCAATTCCTGAGTGTATGGGCCAGGAGTAACCCCTGAGCATCGCCGAGTGTGACCCAAAAAGCAAGAAAAAAAAAAAAGTTGGGGCTGGAGCAATAGCACAGCGGGTAGGGCGTTTGCCTTGCACGCGGCCAACCCGGGTTCAATTCCCAGCATCCCATATGGTCCCCTGAGCACTGCCAGGGGTAATTCCTGAGTGCAGAGCCAGGAGTAACCCCTGTGCATCACCAGGTGTGGCCCAGAAAGCAAAAAAAAAAGAAAAAGAAAAAAAGTTAGCTTGAAACCTGGCCGGGGAGGCAGTTCCCAGCCACAGCCGGCACTGTGGCCCCATCCTGGGCCTTGTGGACCCCGGGCCTGGCTGGTGGCCAGCTGCAGGGGAGAGCCAGAGCGTGACACCCCGTCCGAGGCTGCTCCCAGCCTTCTCGAACCAATTCACCGGGGTTTGCTCCCTCCTTAGATAGGCCCCGGCTGCGAGTTTCTCCGCCGTGACTCATGTTGACCCAGGTGGTCCTCCCGGCCGGAAGTGGCAGGTGCTGACCACCACTCCGTCCCCGCCTCTCTCTGCAGTGCCCATTCATGGATGAGCGGATCATGTGCTTACACAGTAAGATCAAGAGTCAGGCCCTGGAGTTCCCAGACCAGTGAGTATGTCCATCGGGGGTAGCCTCCCTCCCTGAGCCCTCGGGGCGGGGGTGTTCCCGTGACCGTGGCCCGCCCCTGACCGCCTCCCGTCCCCCCAGGCCTGACATAGCCGAGGACCTGAAGGACCTGATCACCCGCATGCTGGACAAGAACCCGGAGTCAAGGATCGTGGTGCCCGAGATCAAGGTAGCAGGACCCCGGCTCGGCCTGTGTCCACTGCTTGGAACCGTGTGGCTGTCACCTGGCCCGGCCCGGCCCACAGCCTCCCGCCGACGAGGCCCGGGGTCTGTGTGCTGAGACTGGGGCGAGGTCGGCTGGCGCTCGCTGTGGTTGGCTTGGGCTGACGGCGTCCGTTCTCCCTGGATGGGGCCTGTGTCCGGCTGCCCGGCTGCCCGGTTCCGCGTCCTTCCCTGGCCGTGGCGGTGGGGGCGGGGAGGGAGTCTTAGCAGTTTGGCCTTCCCAGCGCCACCCTGCCCGGGCTGCTCATCGCAGGACGTGTTCGCGGGGGGCCCCCAGTTGGCCCCGCACCCCTTTCTGTGCAGAAATCAGAGCTGTTTCTGGCACCCGGGGGGGGGGCACTTTGAAGAAGGGCTGACCCCGGCCGGGGGTGTCTCCCCACGGTCCTTCCAGCCGCCCTCACTGTCTCTGCGGCCTCTACTTCCCTTTCTGGGAGATGGGGAGTTTGCTGCCTGCTCTGAGCTGAGCCGCCTGGCATGGGGGAGCGTTGCTGAGGTGTGACAGGGACACGGGGGAGGGGGGCCTCCTGGGGCCACCCCGCGGGAGGGACGTTGAATTCCAGCCCCTTCTGTGCAGTCCCGCGGCTGATGGCGTTCCGTCCGACACACACCGCCTGTGCTCCCTCCATGCTGTCTGTCTCTGTGCTCTCCGCCTTTCCTCCTCTCCCATTGCCTGTCCTTCTGCCTGGCTTGCCTCTCGCGTGCCTGACCCCAGGCCACTGTCCGCCTCCCCCCTGCCCCGCCCGCCCTCACTCGTCCTGTCATTCGTTGAAGCTGCACCCCTGGGTCACGAGGCACGGGGCGGAACCGTTGCCGTCGGAGGACGAGAACTGCACGCTGGTCGAGGTGACGGAAGAGGAGGTGGAGAACTCGGTCAAACACATTCCCAGCCTGGCGACCGTGGTAAGGCGGGCGAACCAGAGGGCCGCAGGCAGGGCCCGCGAGGCCCAGGCTGGCACCCAGAGGGCATCTGAGGCCGATCATGGGGCCTAGGAGTCAGGACATGGCCAGTCTGCTCCCCACCCCGGCCACCAGCCCACGGCCTGACTCATACTGCGCCTGTGCCCCTGGCAGCCTCTTCCATTTAGCTTGGTCACTGGCCAGGTCCCCTGCCACGCTAGAGAGGCCCCCCGCCCCATCCAAGGAACCTTCTAGAAATCCTCCTTTCAGCACAGCGCAGGGAGAGCAGGAGGAGGAAAGGGACCAGCATGGACACTGGGCAGGATTCTCCGAGACAGGCCCCTGGTCCAGAGGGGAGCGACCAAGTCTCCCGTCCTGCAGACAGTGACCCAGAACCCACAGAGGCCTCCCTGACCCCTGAGGGGCGAGCTTCTCGGGAGTGGCCGCCCTTTCATGGCCTCGCATCTGGGGCCCGACCAGCGAGGAGCTGGGATAATAGTGCTCAGGCCCTCAGTGCTCCCAGGCAGCCCGGGCCGCTGTCCCGGGGCAGAGTCCCATGGCAGGGCACCGGGAGGGGACGGTGGCCCAGTCTGCAGAGATCCAGCGTCCACCTCATGCTGGCCCACAGGCTGGCCCCACTCCAGCTTCGCACGTCCTCTCCCCCCTCTCCCCCCCCCCCCCCCCCCCGCTTCTTCACTCTCCTTCTTCCCGGATCTGACCCCGGGGTGGGGCCTCCACCTCCCGCCCGGGCCTCTGCATGCCCATCACTGTGCCACGCTAACCACCTCCTCTCTCTCATCCTCCCGCCGCACCCACAAGCCATAGCGCCTGCCAGGGCCCTTCTGAGCCTGGCATGGACGGTCCTGGCCTGGTCCTGGCCCCTGTCCCGTCGCCACCGCCCTCAGCTGCAGCTTCCTGGGAGAAGGCAGCTGGCCCAGGGCTGGGGGGCAGGGGTCACCATGGCCCGGAAACACTTCTCTCTCAGGCCTGTGCCGGGGGCCCTGCGGGAGGGGCGACAGAACTGGTGGGGTCCTGTCCGGCCGGCGGGAGTCGGGTCTGGGTCCTGGACAGATGGAGCAGACTGGTGGGGAGAGGTGGCAGACCGGGGAGGTTGGGGCGGGGCCTGGGCCCCTGGGGGGCTCTCACTTTTGCCCCCGAGGTGGCCTCTATTTCCGCGGAGCTGGGGAGTGCCTTAGTGGTGCTTGGCAAGTCCTGGGCCTGTGGCCCAATGCGGTGGTCCAAGGATGTGGTGCTAGGGACCCCGGGCCACCCTGGTGCTGCAGGGGACCATGTGGTGCCGAGGATCCAACCAGGGGTGACTGCCAGGCAAGGCACATGCTTCACCCCTGACCTCCCTGTGCCGGGATGCTGCTCCTGGCCGACTGGGGGCGGACCCAGGTTGTGTTAGGGTGGGGGCAGGGCCCCCCAGTAGTTTCCCCAGCCAGCAGAGGACAAGCCCTACCCTCCCTGCCTCTCTGACTTCCAAGCATGTTAATAACCCAGTGGGCAAATGATCTACAGGACAGGGCGTGGCGGGGACAGGAATATTATGCAGTCTTGAACAGGTTGGAAGCACTGACAGTCGAAAACACACCCTGTGGGGGAAGCCACAGGCCACGTGGGGTTGGATTCCATTGCTGGGAATGTCCAGATCCCATCCAGCGTCCACAGATGGGGCACATGGGGTGGGGTGGGGTGGGGTGGCGGTAGCGGGGGTGGGGCTCATGGGATGTGTGTGGACATCCTGATCCTGGTGAATGGTCACTCTAACTTGGCGAGGAACATGCCGTGCAAGGGTCTTTCAATTCAAGAATGGCTCAGTGCCTTGTCCCCCCCAGCCCCCGGCTCTTCCCGGGAGGCCACGGCCGGCATCGTGTTGGGGCCATCAGGACAGCTGGCCCTGGGCAGGGGCACAGTGTGGCCACCTCCCCTTCAGCCTGGGGTCCCCCGGGAGCTGGGCGGGCCTGGGGCCAGACTTGGCAGGACGGGAATGTCTCATCCAGGGTTTCACTCCCCTCACGAGCCGTGGAGTTTTGGGGACAGACCACTGAGACCTGGGGTGCTTTAGTGACTGCTGCCTGGCAGGAAGGGAGGTTGCCCTGTGTCCCCCACCCCCAGCATCGGCACCTGGCATCGCCACCAGGCCGGGGCGGCAGTGGGGAGGGCCTGGGGCAGGGGCCAGTGCCCTGGAGTGCTGTGTGGGCGGCTGACTCCCTGCCCTTCTCTCCTTCAGATCCTTGTGAAGACCATGATCCGCAAACGCTCCTTTGGGAACCCGTTTGAGGGCAGCCGGCGAGAGGAACGCTCCTTGTCGGCCCCTGGCAACCTGCTGGCGTGAGTGTCCCCCTCTGGGCTCTGGAGAACTCGGGACAGCCCCTGCCCCCGCTCTGCACGGCCCTCCCAATGGACCCCTATGGACCCCCAGCAGTTGCCGGCTTTGGCTTTGCAGTGGGGAGACAACCCCTCCCCCGCCTTGCCTCAGCCTCCCCCTCACTGGCAGCTCATCCAACCCCTCTTGGGAGGGGTTTGCACTGGCACGGGCAGGGGGCTCCTGACAGCCCGAATCCGTGGCCGAGGCCCAGAAGCACGCATGCTCTGTGGGACTTGGGGCCTGGCGTGTGCCTCGCCGAGCTGCCAGGACCCTCCGTGCAGCAGAGCCAGTACTGGGGGGGTCTGAGCACTGTGCCCAGGACAGCACCTGGGAGTCTTCTCACATCCCTTTTCCTCCCCTCCGGCCATTCCAGCAAAAAGCCGACCCGGGCATGGGCGGCCCCGTGGGAGCCCAAGGTACGCCTGCCTGCCCGCCTGAGCGGCCGCGCGTGGGGCTGGGGCGCGTAGGCATGGCTCAGCCCGTCTCGCCGCCTGGCCCGCACCCTCTGCTCCGTGCACACCGCGGCACTGAGGCTGGGACAGGCCTGCCCAGTCACATGCACCGGCTCCTGCCCCTCCCGGAGGAGTTAAACCCCGGCCAGCTGGTGACCCCAGCAACCCCCCCCACCCCCCAGCGCAGAGAAGTTTGGTCTCACACCTGGGATGACAGAGTTGACACCCTCAATGCCCTCCCTCTGGGCCGCGCCCCCTCCCCACACCAGCACGCTCCCCGCTGGTCCGGCTCCAGGCCTCTCCCTCTGGCTCAGTTGAGATCATTTACCGTCCATTGCAGGCTCTGATTCCAGGGTCTCTAGAGCATTCGCGGTGGCCCTGCTCTCCCCCACACTCACCCGTCAGACATTTCCACTAGCCCAGGAGAGCCCCCTCTGACAGTCAGAGCCTGGCTCCTGTGTCTGTGGGTCCGTCTGTCCCCCACACTTCCGGTCAGCGGACCCATCCAGGTGCGACTGGGCTCTGCTTCTTCCCCGCGTACCCGCTCTCAGGGCTCCCCCTGTGCTGTGGCCCGTGGTGGCCGAGCAGCGCGTCCCTGGACGGGCCGTGTTCGTCCCCCTGTCTAGGTGCCACTGTGGCAGGCATGCCCTGTAACTTGGTGTCTCATTAGAAGAGGCCTCACGGAATGGGCTTGACAGGCCCATGAGGCGTCGGGGGGCCGGAAGGAGGCTTGTGGGGGGATTGTCCTGCCTTCCTGGAGCAGCCGTGGGAACACGTCAGAGCGATCGCTCTGGCTTCAGGCCCTGTCCTCTCCCGTGGCAGACCTGTCCACGGCTTTCCACACACCCCACAGGCTGAGATGGGTGCAGAGGGCTGGGGTGGTTTTGGGTAATGGGAGGTTTGGGTGGTGCTCAGAGGATACCCCCCGCTCTGTGCTTGGGGGTCACTCCCAGGGACGGAACCGGAGGCAGCAGCATGCAAGGCAGGTGGCTTAACCCCTTTGCTGTCCCCCGACCTCCGTCCAGAGACCTGTCGGTGTCTGGGAAGCCTGGAGTGCGTGGCTTGCTGCCCGCCTGGCCGGAAACCTGTGCTGTCTTGGCTGAGCCTTGTCCTGTGAGCAAGTGGCTGTCGGGGCGGAAGGCTGGGGGTCTCCCTCCCGCGACAGAGTCGGAGCGAGCATGATTCTCGGCCTGAGCGGGCTTCTTCCTGGGGGGCCGGCATCCTGCTTCCTTTGCCTGGGGTGGGCTGCCAGGGGGCACCATGCTGTCCTGTCTAGGGTGGAGGGGAGCCAAGTCTGGTTGGGGGACTGCAGCCTGGGGCCCCTCCACCTCCGATCACTCCATGCTGACCTAGAGGAGGCTCAGGACAGGCCCCGGGAGCCAGGGGCGCTTCTCTCGTCCCACCATCTCTGTGCATCACAGAGACGAGGATCTGCGTTGTCCCAGGAGGTTTTCCCTGCGCCTGTGTGTGTATGTGTGCATGCGTGCGTGTGTGTCCTGGGAGGCCTGTGTGTGTGTGTGTGTGTGTGTGTGTGTGTGACCCGTGAGGCACCTGTGTGTGTATGTGTGTGTCCCGGGAGGCCTCTGTGTGTGTCTGTGTGTGTGTCCCAGGAGGCCTCTGTGTGTGTATGTGTATGTGTGCCGGGAGACCTGTGTGTGTGTGTGTGTGTGTGTGTGTGTGTGGTGTGTATGTGTGTGTGTGTTTGTGAAGCAGAGACCCACCCTGTGTTGGCAGGGCCACGGCAAGTCACAGTTGGTTCCCATCAGGTTTTATAGTCTTTGCTCCTTGAAGCCAAGGGTGTTGGTTTCTCCCTCATATTGCTGGAATACAAAGTCTGTTTTGTTTTGTTTTTGTGACACACCCAGCTGTCAGGGCTTGCTCCTGGTTTTGTGCTCAGGGAGCACGCTCAGTGGGGCTCTGGGGACCATATTGGGGTGCCAGGGATTAAACCTGAGACGGCCACGTGCAAAGCAAGCTCCCTACTTGCTATACTAACGCTCCGGCCCTTTCTCTTTGAATGTTTTATTTCCTTGGGGACCTTCCAAGCAGTGTAAGGCCTGGGGGCCCCTCCCAGCAGTTCTCGGCCAAGGTGGCCTGAGTATGTGTTGCCACTGACCCCTGCAGTGGGGTGGGGCCACACCCAGTGGAATTTAGAAAACCACATTGCGGGACTGGGATGATTGTCCAGGGGGGAGGGGGTTTGCCTTGCATGCGGTCAACCCGGCTTTGATCCCTGGCATCTCATATGATCCCCTGAGCACCGCCAGGAGTAATTCCTGAGTGAAGAGCCAGAAGGAGCCCTGGCTCTGGCATCACCAGATGTGACCCAAAAGCCAAAAAAAAAAAAAAATCTAGAAGATCACCTGGTGATCAGATTGAACCAGGCTGGCTGTCCACATTCAAGGCAGGAGTGCCTAAGTGCTTTTACCCCTGTACTGTCTCTCCAACCCCAGGGCATTTTACATAAGCAAGGAAAGGAACAGGGAGGAAAAGTCCCAAAGAAGAAATGAAGTAAATGACATGCCCCGTGATGGGAAGCTGAGGCCAGGACTGCGCGGGCATCGCTGTGACCTTAATGCTGGTTTTCTTTCTGCCAAGCAGGAAGCGCAGCAGCGAAGACAGCCTTCGAGGCCCCGACCCAGCCCCCATGGGGGAGGAGGAAGTGCTCGTGTGAAGGAACAGCCCCCGGTGGAGAGCTGGGGGGCCGCAGCCCTGGACTCCCCAGCAAGCATGCGTCTGTGGCAGCCAGATGAAGCCATGGAGTAGCTGCCTGAGGGAGCAGCTTCCCTGAGGGATGAGCTGCCCTGAGGGATGAGCGCCCTGAGGGAGCAGCTGCCTGAGGGATGAGCTGCCCTGAGGGAACAGCTGCCTGAGGGATGAGCTGCCCTGAGTGAGTAGCTTCCTTGAGGGAGCAGCTGCCCTGAGGGAGTAGCTGCCCTGAGGGAGCAGCTGCTCTGAGGGAGCAGCTGCCTGAGGGAGTAGCTGCCCTGAGGGAGCGATTACCCTGAGAGAGCAGTTGCCCTGAGGGAGCAGCTGCCTGAGAGAGTGGCTGCCTAAGGGAGTAGCTTCCCTGAGGGAGCAGTTGCCCTGAGGGAGCAGCTGCCTGAGGGAGCAGCTGCCTTGAGGGAGCAGTTGCCCTGAGGGAGCAGCTGCCTGAGGGAGTAGCTGCCCTGAGGGAGCAGCTGCCTGAGAGAGTGGCTGCCTAAGGGAGTAGCTTCCCTGAGGGAGCAGTTGCCCTGAGGGAGCAGCTGCCTGAGGGAGCAGCTGCCTTGAGGGAGCAGTTGCCCTGAGGGAGCAGCTGCCTGAGGGAGTAGCTGCCCTGAGGGAGCAGCTGCCTGAGAGAGTAGCTGCCTAAGGGAGTAGCTTCCCTGAGGGAGCAGTTGCCCTGAGGGAGCAGCTGCCCGAGGGAGCAGCTGCCTTGAGGGAGCAGTTGCCCTGAGGGAGCAGCTGCCTGAGGGAGTAGCTGCCCTGAGGGAACGATTGCCCTGAGGGAGCAGTTGCCCTGAGGGAGCAGCCGCCCTGAGGGAGTAGCTGCTGGGATCCGCCCTCGCCTGCACGCGCCCCCTGCGTTTCCATAGCAGCATGTCCTACTGAAACCAAGCCCGTGTAGCGCCTTGGCCATCATCTCCCGTTTGTCTTTATTTTCACTTCTCTGTTGTTTCGAGAGGACAGACAGAAAAGGACTTGGCTCCCCGACGGCCCTCGGCTGCTGGCTGGCTGAACGACGGGGTGAAGGGCTGTGGGCCCACGCCCACGTGCACGTGGAGACATTTGCTTCATAGACATTTTTATGCCAAAACTCCTTCATTGTGGACTCGGAACCATGCCAGATATACCTAGGGAGTGTGTGTGGGGTTTAGGGTCGTGAGAATGATCCGAAAACCCAGACCATGGAACTGACTGTTGCATTTGGAAGGAGGCAAGAGCAGGTGTAATGGCGGGGGAGGGAATCTAACTCCCCTCCCCTCCCCCACAGCCTTGCCGCCCCCAGGCTACTTAATTGAATTTTACCTTTTTTTTTTTTAAAAAAAAATTATTTAAATGGGTAGAACTTTAGTCAGAAAAAGGAAAGGGCTTCAAACAAACTTAATTGCTTCACAAAAGGGATTTTTCCAGCCCTGGAGGGGCTTTTGGAGGTTGTATGGGAAAATTGGAAAATTGACCGCCCCCCCAACAAGTTTCTCCAGGTCGGTCTTTGAAGCAGTTGAGTGAAAATCTCGTGAATGTCTTATAGAAACGGGCAACTTCAGGGTGAGCTCTTCCCCTCCAGGGACATTTCCGGCCTGGGGCAGACAGACCCCGGTAGCTGAACTAGGGCACCGCAGTTATTTCGCGCTTCAGGATTTATCCCCTCGACTCCGGGCTGGAGTTAGAGCCAGTGAAATCTCTGCCTGTACATTAGCAGCTTCGCTTGTCTGTGGCCTGCGTACGTTAGAGACGGCCGGGGCTTTATTTTCCTCTCAAGCACTCGCTGATTGTCATAGTCCCACGTGTACCCTGATTCTGGAGGGCTGGGTGGGAACTGCTTTCATCCTGATGCTGCGCTCCCTTAGGGTCTGCACGGTAACATTGGGGACCCCCTTCCGCGACAGAAGCGCTGCAACCCAGAGCACGGCGCCTTGCACGCCACTTCCCGTCCCGTAGCCAAAAGTCCAAGGACTTTTTGACTTTTTGACTCTGCCCTTTTTGACTCCCAACCAATACTGGGAAAGTTTGGTTGCTGCCCGGGGCGAATTCCAGAGCCATAGGAGGGGGACTGGGGAGTGAGTTGGGGGTGGGGGGTTGCCCTGGGAGACTTTAAGGTCTGCCTCCCCTGGCTGTCCCAGATGAGCACGCTTAGGAGGCCCGGGTGTCAGGAGGTTCATAGGTTAATCCATTGTGGGGGACGTGGCGAGGGCAGGAGAGGCAAGCCTGGCCCCCCAGCGGAGGGTGGGGGAGTGGGGAACGTCTTCCTCTGGTCTCAGGAGCAGGGGGTGCTGGTTCCCCCCACATTCCCTCCCCCCCATCACTTCGTGGGCCCCTCCCCTCCGTGGCAGAGGGGGTTGGATTCGTTGGTGCAAGGCACCTTTTGGTGGTCGTGGCCCCCTCTTGCTGTGCCCGGGGAGGGTTGTTCCAGTGTTTCCCAAGGCCGAGAGGTGGTGCCCACATTCATTACCCTTTTTAAGAAAAGAAAAAAAAAAAAACGAAAAACCAACAAAACAAACACCAAAGAAAGTGGTGGGAAGGAACTGCCCCCTCTGCCCACGGAGTCCAGGTACAGGTGGAGACGGTGGCTCCCTTGTGTGGCCGAGAGGCCAGCTCTGAGGCTGGTGTCTGGAGCGGGAAGGTGGGGGCCGCTTTCCAGGAGAGCAGACGGGTTCCCCGGCCGCTCTTTCTAATGGCTTGGAGGGACCAGCTTGGTGCAGCCACCTGGCCTGCCTGCAGCCTTGATGGAAGGACAGCGCCCCCCGCCCCCCCTCCCCCGTCTTTCCTTTGTCCTGGTCCCCGGTCCCTTCCTCCACTGGTCTGAACATCCCCCCCACCCTTTCCATTCCTGTGACTTAGGGCTCCCGTTCCTGAAGCCTTTCTGGAACAAGGAGACTAAGACCTGGGCACAGAGACTCAGCCCCACCCTGATGCTCCCTGCATCTCCTCGGGGAGAGCCACATGGGGGAGGGGGTGGGGCAGGACCCACGACCTCCACTCGCTTCCAAAGGTGCTAGGGAAGGTTTCCGGGTCGTGGGATTGGCCACTTTTCTATTCTGTGATTGACGCCCGACGCTTGTGTTTTATTCCTGATCCTTTCTACTATGCATTTTCCTTTTATCAGGTGTACAAAGTTAAATACTGTGTATTTATCACTTAAAAGTCCATGAACTTAAAGAGACAAAATTAAAAAAAAAAATAATAAGCCTTTGGTGTTTTTCCACAAATGTTGAAGCTTCTCTGTAAACTTGAAATAAACAGACAGCGAAATGGTGCAAAGACCAGGCTGCTGGGTTTTTCGTGCTTGTCGATTTCAGTCCGTGTTCTCCAGGTTGTCTGCCCTGATGTCTGTTTTTCTGCTCAGGGTGCTGGTGAGGTCGAATGCTCATGGTGCGGTATTCCGTTATTCACCCCTGATTCGAGCAGGGGTGCCCGGGACGCCAGCATCTCTGGAGGCAAATTCCAGGAGGGAGAGAGCGCTGGTGCCAAGCAGGTTTCCTGCCTCCAACACAGTCAAGGAGTGACCCCTGGGCCCTACCAGGCGTGACGCCAGAACAATCAAAAAGAAGGAATGTAGATGCTCAGCAGGCCAGAGCACTGCTCTGCAGCTGGCAGGTCTGAGTTCCAGCCCCAGCACCTGACGATGCTCTGAACACCTTTGGTTTTGTTCCCCGGAAAATGCAGATTCCCAGTCTCCAAATATCTTTTGTTTTTTGGCCACATCCGGTGGTGCTTAGTGGTTACTCCTGCCTCTGCACTCAGGAATTATTCCTGGTGGTGCTCGGGGTAGCATATGGGGTGCTGGGAATTGAATCTAGGTCGACTGTGTGCAAGGCAAACACCCTCCTCACTGTCCCGTCTCTCCACCTGCCCCCCCAGTCCTGGCAAGTAAACAGAAAGATTTTTTTGTTTGCCTTTTTGGGTCACACCCGATGATGCTCAGGGGTTCCTCCTGGCTCTGCCCTCAGGAATTACCCCTGCCGGTGCTCAGGGGACCATATGGGATGCTGGAATCGAATCCGGGTCGGCCGCATGCAAGGCAAACATCCTACCCGCTGTGCTATCCCTCCAGCCTCAAGCAGGAATTACTTTTAAAAGGCAGCATGAGGGGCAGGAGAGATAGTCCAGCGGGGATGGTGCTTGCCTTGCTGACCTGGGTTCAATCCCCAACATCCTGTGTGGTCCTCTGAGCACTCTCAGCACCACTGGGTGTAGCCCGAAAACCAAAGTGAGGGGTGGAGAAGCCTGGGCAAGTGCTTTCTCAAAGGGGTTTGGTGAACGTTCCCCGCCAGCCAGCTTGGTCCTTTTCCCGTAGAAGCTGCACTTGTGAAATAAACTGTTCCCTCTACAGGGAAAGGAGTCGAGGCCAGGGGAGGGTGGGGCTGCTTTCTGCGGGGAGAAACACCCAGAACACCCAGTTAGGGAGGAAGTGAGAAGCGGCTCATTTTACAATTCAGATACTGGCGTGTGTGTGGGCTGGCGTTCCTCGTTCCTCGGCTGCGGGTAGAGTGGTGGGTTGGGAGGCCGGGGAGAGCGAGTGGAGTGTGGAAACCATTTTCAGGTTCCCTCAGAGTGTGGTCCCTCACTTTTACGTAAAACTGAGCAGAGCCAGGAGCAGTCACTACAGGAAGCGTCTGAGCTCGAGGAGCCCAGCATCGAGGTTCAGAGGAGGAAAACGGAAGGAAAAGGCCTATGCCAGCCTCAGACCCTGGGGAATCGAACCTGGGTCGGCTGTGTGCAAGGCAACCGCCCTACCCGTTGTGCTATCACTCCAGCCCCGATAATAGCAAAATACATTTTTTTTTTTTTTTTTTGCTTTTTTGGGTCATACCTGGTGATGCACAGGAGTTACTCCTGGTTCATGCACTCAGGAATCTCTCCTGGCGGTGCTTGGGGGACCATATGGGATGCTGGGAATCCAACCTGGGTCTGCTGCATGCAAGGCAAACGCCCTACCCGCTGTGCTATTGCTCCAGCCCCTAAAATAATATTTTAATGTTTGATCCTCAACCAACCCGAGCTCTTCTCCAAGGAGGAGCACTGGTTCCTTGCGACTGGCGGGAGGCCCGACAGACACGTCTCTGGTGGGGACAGAAGGCCGCAGCCCGCATGCA